GCCCTCGTGGCCAAGAAGGCCAATGGGATCCTGGGGTGCATTAAGAAGAGTGTCTCCAGCAGGTCGAGGGAGGTGATCCTGCCCCTCCACTCAGCCCTGGTGGGGCCGCATCTGGAGTATTGTGTCCAGTTCTGGGCTCCTCAGTGCAAGAGGGATGTGGAGCTGCTGGAGAGAGTCCAGCGCAGGGCTACAAAGATGATCAGGGGCCTGGAACTGCCCTATGAGGAAAGGCTGAGAGAGGGCCTGTTCAGTCTGGAGAAGAGAAGGCTGAGAGGGGATCTAATCAGTGTATATAAGTACCTCAAGGGAGGCAGTGAGGAGGATGGTGCTGGCCTCTTTTCAGTGGTGGCATTCAATGACCACACATGAAGAAGGAGTTGTCTCTCATTTGTCTCTCCTGTGACCTCCATCATTGCTAGTATACCAGCTATTGGACATCAAGATGCTGCCTATTGGTCACCACAGCTCTCTGCAGTAGGGCTGGATCAAAAACTATTTCTTGCAGGTTTCTCATCCATTCCTGCCCACACACACACACACACACACACAACTAAAGCCTTTTCCCACTATGGTTTGAGAACTGTTTCAAAACAGGGTGACACTCAGACTCCTGTGAAGAAACACCAGGAAAATAAAAAGGCAAGAGTCAAGTTGTTGCAAGAGAATTTTCCAATTCCCCATATAGGGGAGGGGAACACTTTTATGCCTCAAGAATGGTCCAGCACTGGAACAGATGCTCAGACAGGCTGGGAAATCTCCTTCCCCAGAGATGTTCAAGAATCATCTGGGCAGGTCTTTGATACATGTGATCTAGTCTTAGAGCTCACCTGCAGTGAGTAGGGCATTGAACTAGAGACCTCCAAAGACTCTCCCATTCAAATCTTTGAGTTTACTAGCTTTTGCAAAGCAAGGAGAAGGAGAGGCCTCTTCCAGAATCCCTCAGCTCCAAGGCATGCTGCTGACACAGCACAGATCTCTTGAAAAAGAGACAAACAAGACAACAACAGGTACCTGCAACAGTTACCTGTTGAACCACCCCCAAACCACACTTCAGCTGAAGGGAGCGCACCCAAAAGATTAAGATGTTGCAGTCAGGATACTTGTAGGAAACCAAAAATAACGAGAAAAGTATGGGAAGCAGGAAATAGAGCAAGTTAGCCAGGTGTCTGCACTGCAGTAGAGACAGGAAAGCACAAGCAACAGCTGAGGTACTGTCTCCCAACAGCTCAAGGCAACAGTCTGATCACACACATGATGTTATTTAATCCCAGGTACTGTAACAGCAGGCTGTGGTTAGTAATGAGCAAGGCTGCCAGGTCCAGAGCCAGGTCGTTTCATAGTATTAAAAGGCATCTGCCTGCTGGGCTTCCACATCTAGAAGCTGTCTTGGGCAGGAAGAATGCAACTCTCACCATCTCCCTCTCCTCTTCCAGTATGAGGGGCTCTCTTGTTCTTTCCCAGAGGCGCAAGGACTTATCATGGGATGCTGAAACCATGTAGTCTCCATTAGGACTGAGTGCCAAGCACCACACCTCTTGGTGATGTCCCTGCATGGTAAGGAGAAGAAGTAAGACATGAACATCCAGCTGCCAATTCCCAAGAGCAGCTCACATTGGGATAATGCTTCTTTTTAACAACATCCAAAACCTCCTACCTCCAATGTCTGAATGTGCTCAAATTTATCTGCATCCCACTGCTTAATCTTGTTGTCCTTCCCAGCAGTGAAGAAGAGATGGGATTTGGCCACAAACTGGAGATGCATCACACTGGGAAGGGAAAAAAAAATGCTGGGGAGACAGGGACCTGACACACACGTGTTAGACACAGATGGCAGAGTGCCTCACAGATCACTATCCCATAGCCCTTATCACCAGTTAGCTCTGGAGAAATCCCCTCTGACACCAACCTTCATTGTAGTCCTACCTGCCACCATATTATCCCAGAAAGCGTCCACAGAATCACAGAACAGTTGAGGTCGGAAGGGACTTTTAGAGATCATCTAGTCTAATGTCCCTGCTCAAAGCAGGGCCAGCTAGAGCAGGTTGCAGAGAGTATTGCCCAGTTGTACTTGGAATATCTTCAAATATCGTGACTTCACATCCTCTCTGTAGAACCTGTTACAACGCTTAGCCGCTCTCACTGTAATTCATTTTTTCTGTCTAAATAGCATTTCTTGCATTTCAATTTGTGCCCATTTTCTCCTATTCTTCCACCTGATACCACTGAAAGGAGTTTGAGTCCATTTTCTTTACAATCTCCCATCAGGGACTTACAAACACTAATCCCCATCCCAAGTCTTCTCTTCTAAAGGCTAAACAATCCCAGATGTCTCAGCCCCTCCTCATATGACAGATGCTTCAGTCTCTTAATCATCTCTGTAGCCCTCTGCTAGACCTACTACAGTATGGCCATGTCCTTCTTGTACTGGGGTATCTAGCCTGGGGCAAACAGCACCTCATGCTGCTGCAGAGCAGAAACACCCAATGTAGCTGCTGATGTTGCGGGTTCAGCACCTCCAGAGAGCCCTAACCACCTCTATGCATGTGGCGCACTGCCTGGGACTGTCCCTGAAAAGCCCAAGTCATGAGCTCAGTGCCAACATATATATGGGGCACCACACAACCAAATTAGCCAGAAGTTTAAATTCACCTGCCTGGGAAACACTAGTGACTTCCCTGTACTCTGTACTGGACAAAAGAGTCACTCTTGTGTCATAACCCTTTGAAGAGAAAACAGGCCACAGCCCAGTGATGCTGTAGGAATTGACTGACCTGTCGTCGTGGGCAAAGAGAGAACGGTGACAGTCTCCAAAATCCAAACCCCAGATTTTCACATTCCTATCAGCAGAGCCAGTTGCAATGAGAGCCCCATCCTACAGAACAAGGTGGAGAGAGGAACGGTGTGACAATCTACAAACAGTCCCAGAAGAAGTCACGGCTGAATCAGTAACTAACCACAGTAAGTGAGCAGATACTTGGCCTCTGAAGCAGGCCTTCCTGATCCTTTTGCCTCCTCTCAGCAGGGTTGAATGTGTTTGTGATGCCCAGACAGCACCCTTGCTCCTCTTTGAGTTTTTGCAGATATTTAAGACTTTAACTAAAAACTTGACGTGTCCAACGTCACAGAAGCTACATCTCAGAGAAAGACAGCCCAGGAAAGAACAGGCATGGAGGCATCGCTATCTTAGTGCTGCTCCCACCAAAAAAGTGATTCAAACACAACTAAGGCAGTAAGAGTCTGGACAGTAAATTTGGCAGAGATCATCAGGCTACACCCCATTAAAAGAGGCAGGATAACCAGAGTTTACACCCCTCATAAAATAACTCGGTCGCTCCTGTCACAACCTCCATTCTGTGATCCTTTCCAGGGAGCACAGGATTGTGGCATCCTGAGGAGTTTGCCAAGTCTCATTAAGAAAGCGCTCACTGTTAAGCAAATAGCAAGAAAGTGACAAGCAAGCATCATCCTGGAGGTCTCACTCAGCAGATTGTTCTCACAGTCATCAACACTACCATAATACCTACATACATACATACCTGTAGTCCTAATAGTACTTACATAGGAAATGTCCATGCACAGCACTGGCAGCTTGTGTCCATACAGGGAAAGGAAAAACTGAAGGAGATGAAAGCATCTCAGTCAGACACACTGGGCAGAGACTTGTGTAAACCTTGAACACTAGGCTAGTCTTCCTCTGCCTCAACAGCACTGTCCTTCCTCTCCAACCCCCTCTTGCCTTGCAGGGGGATAGCAGTGGGGCCATGCGGGCAGAACTGACACTGGGGTGGAAGTACCCAAGCTGAGTGACCTCAGTGCTGTTCATCAGCATATCTGACTGTGCTGCTCTGTCTTGTGTCATTCCCTTGTTTTCACATGCTCATACAGAAGTCACAAGATCGCTGCTCACAAGGAAAGTTCTCTTCCCCCAGGTTTTGCCTCTGCTATGCTCCATTTAAGAGCCATGTGTGACACTCATCTGTTCACACTCTCAAGATGCCACACAACTCTGCAATACCACCATGCCTGCAGGCCTAGGGTGGGCCTTGCCAACTACAATTTCTACAGCTTTCCAGACCAAACACAGATTTCCTGCCCAGCATGGGCCAACCCTGCTTCTGTCATGTTTGTTAGCAAAGAGACACCTGAAATGGGATGCTTGGCGCTCTCTGATTCTTTTTAGTGTTTTAAGTGGGCACTTTCCCCATGTATACCTCATATTTCAGTCTGCAATTATATCACTCCCTGCACAGTATTGCAGTCCATTTGGCCATGTACCTTGAGTGTGTCAGTGTAGAAAACCTTCACAGTGCAATCTAGTAAAGAGACAGCCAGCAACTTGTGATTGGGGCTGTACCGCACACAGAGAACATCTTCATCCAGCTGCAAGATGCGCATCTGTTTTATAGAGAGCCTGGCAAAGATAAAAAAAAAAAAAAAAAAAAGGTTTGTTCTTCAATAGTTACAAGACAGAAAGAAGCATGAACACAAACCCCTCCCCTGATCTTGCACTCTGGGAACACATGGTTAATCTAACATGCAGCATCTCCATCCTCATTAGGAATTGATCAAAAAAGGATTGGAAAAGAGCATGGCACTGCAGGCTAATAGATCGCACTGCTTAATCCCGTGCTTAATGATCTGAAGGCCCTGCCTGCAATTAGAGGCTAAACTCACACAGAAGGAAGGTGCCACACTGTAACAAGTCTCCTTTTTTCAACTAAGCTCAGACTTTCACAAAATAACTCTGAACTCACACTCTTCTTCACATTCCACGCACACGCCATGGGCATTTCTTACAACGCACAGCAAAGGCCAAAGTACCCATTAGTGGGAAATGATACTGCAGTTAAATGCAGCCAAATGTGGCCTAGAAAGTTTTTTTTTTCTCTCACCTTTTCTGAATGATGCTTTCATCCTTCACAAGCTCAAACTCCCAGAACTTGACACATTTATCAGCACCTCCTGTCATAAAGCCATGCTGTAGGGGATAAGCATTTAAAATTAAAATAAAACCAAAACCACATTTCACTATAGCCCAGAGAAATCTCACACTCAAGGCAAAGCCAACATGCAAGGAGGTTTTTGAAATGCTCTATATTCCCACAGCATTAATGGTTAGAAGAGCATCACAAGGACCACGTATTCTGCTTGGAGCACTGCCCAGTGGTTGAGCAAGAGCCACACCACTTTCAGAAGCTCTGACAGGCAGATCAGAGTCCAAGATTCCAAATGTACATGGGCTGAAACTTTGGGACTGAAAGCAGGCATCTCAGCTGCAGGCAATGAAGTGCATATATTTAATGGGTAAGCTGACATCCTCATTGCTCCTGGATCACACACACCGTAACACCACCCCACAAGAGCAGCCTACTAAAAGAACCCCAGCTCAGCCAAGAACTCTTCTGTCAAGAACAAACATAAAACTGTCCAATATGTTTTAATTGGTGGAGTAAGTGAATCCCAGCAGGCTATTAGTAGCTATGGTTTTGATTCCGCTAAGAAATAACACTGATTTCTAGTACAACATGACCACCTAACAAAAACAAGGAAGACTCATAACAAACAGAAGAGAACAGTGACAGTAACAAATATGAACCAAACTTTGATACTGGAGAAAAACTGAAAAAGGGAATAAAAAGACAAAAGCAGATCTCTATAGCCAGGCTACTTTAGGCCACATGCAGTATGTGAAACAGGAACATAAAGATTAATAATAGTAAAGACTTTTACTACTACTAGCTAGCAATACTCAAAGTGTGTGGGTTCAGTAAGCATTTCTGATCTGTTCTAAGGAAAAGCCATGAACCATAATCACATCACCAAGTGATGAAACACTGCTCCAAAAACTCAGGCAGCTGCTTTTTGACAGTCTTAACATGTCAGACACTTCTAAATCAATGTTTCAGATCCTCTGGCATTCTCTAAACCATGAATGTTGATTCTCAGCTATTTTTGAAATTCAGGGGGAGATCCTGGAGGAAAGTAATAGAACACCATTCATAATTCAGAAAGAATAAATAGGTAGGACTGGTAACATGGTCCTGCAAAGAAGGAGCAAGCAATTGTGGCTTTTCTCAGACAAAGGAGGTGCACTGAGTATCAATTCATATGAGCTTCGGAAAATTAACTTCACATGAATTATCCTTTAAGATTTAACCTGATGGATTTGCTAATGGAGTTACAGTGTTGCTTATGCAAGGCATACCACTTGGTCTTGCACTACATTTTCAGCAGAGTACATACAATATGAGTAAAAGACCTAACAGGTCTCAAAAGTTCATTTTAATTGAGAAACACCTAATAACTTGACATTATGCTGCTTAAAGATTTTATCTGATATGGGAGAAAGCTAAAGATATAAGGAAGTGTACCAGCAACATAAGGATGACTGAAATATTAACTAAGAAAATGGATTTCTCTATAATGGCACTTAGCTATCCAAACCACCTGATGAAAAGGGACAAGGAAAGAGAGAAATGTTAATTTATACGCTTATGAGTCAACAACTTTAAAAGCCACATGCACACCTTCCCCTATGAAGAAGCGCCCAAAAATCACCTTTGGAGGGGGACACAGCAGAGTATTAGCTGACTACATGTTCTCATTGCAGAGCTATGATCAAAAGAGCTAAATAAGTGCTTGGTTGGATTCAAAGGGCAATGCTGCACTCACACTGCTAAAATTTCTATAATACATCTAGCTCTGGGGTCCACCAGCCAAAAAAAAAAGGATGGTGGTAATTTTAAAAGGTCACGGGAATGATTATGAGTCTGGAAAACACATCCTGCTGGGACACACATCATAAATTCAACTGCTATATCAGACAGATTGGGAGAGTGATTTGGTTGCCCTGAAAAACAGTGCAAGGTGAACAAGAAACACTATGTTAACCGGATTTTTAATCCAACAAAGGTACCAGCAGCTCCAATGAGTGTGAGTTAAAGCTCAGCAAGCTGAAACTATAAACAAGCAGAAAATTTTACAAGGAGGATAATGAGGCACTGGAACAGGTTACAAAAGGCTGAAGGTCTCTACAGCTATAACACATACACACGCACACAGTTGCGCACACGGACTGCTGGGGAAGTCTGAGTGCTCTCAATCATTTAGAAATCACAGTAGGTGTTGAGGATGGCAACTCTCAGCCTAGAGGTTCGCTGTGACGTGGCACACAAGAGCAGACAGATATTCCGGACTTCTGCATATATCCACTTCTGCATTTATCTTAAATACTACTAGCTGCATCTTCTGCCTTGAAGGTGGGGTGGTTCCCATGCTCCCATCAACAGCACAAACACAACACTACAGGAAAGAGCTACATGGATGTGCAACAGGTCATGCTTACAAGACTGGATGAGTTACCTGGTCTGGTGAAAGAGCGATGGACCACACTGCCCCATCATGAGCTGTGAGTGTCTCCATCAGACTCCCAGAAGCCAGGTCATACAGCTGCAGCTTTCCTGTCTGGGAGAAAGACATCAGAGACAAACTAGCTCCTTGACTTTCACAGCACAGTCCTGAACTGCTTGTAGCATGTTGGTCAGATCTGCAAACACAACAGAGCCTCAGGCTACAAGCCTCTCAGAAATGGCAAAAAGAAGAACATCTCAAAGCAGAGCCCAGAGACCAAAGGTCTGAGTTAGCAAAGATGAGACTCCCACAATGACAAGGCAGCCATTTGTATTGCAACAGTCAGCTCCAAGGGGAGAGGAGAGCTCAGAGGGAACCCTCCCAGACTGCCCAACACACAGGAAGAGCTATAGCAGAACCCTGCTGACAGCCAGGTTGCATCCTGCTGCATTTACAGCTCTATACAGGAGTCACTTCTGGTCAGCACCAGTCACTCCAAACCTTGATAGATCCCAGCAGGAGAGCACCCCTGCCACCCATCTCCTGAGCAGTCACCTTCGTTAGTTATCTGTTATGCACAACAGGCCAAACTCCTCAGCTACATCAGGGACTATGCAAAGCTCCCCTCAGCTGTCTTGCTCAACCTATAGAAACTACGCTAAGGGCCTGGTAACAGAACAGATACTGTCAAGATTTTTATCCCTAAAACAGATATTTCCAGAACAGGTGGTGCAATTCATTTTCAGTAAGGCTGGCTTACTGACATTTTCAGAACATGCTTGGGCGTATTCTGGAGCAGCAGAAAGGACACAATTTACCTTAGTGCCAACAATGACCTGTCGATCTCCAGGCACAAAGAGCGAGCATAACGCATAATCACACTCCATTGTTCGGATGCACTGCAAGGTCGATCTGTAAACAAAGACAGAGTATAAAACCTCTCATCACATAAAAATCCTGGCCCACCAAGTGTGACATGATCCAGAGATGTCTTTCAAAGCAGTCTCTCCTCTTTCTTTTCACCTGGGGCCAGAAGGTCCTGCACTGCCATCCCACAGTCCAGCAGGCCCCTAAAAATGCTAAAGCACTACTACTGACATTTGCCACGGAAACAGGTTATTATCACATAGTCAGCACTAGTGACTTATTGCCATTATAAGCAAGGACAGAGCCACTGTTATCAAACTGTAATTCCTCCCATTCTGGGCAGAAGGGAGTAATTTGAGATATTACTCCCACACGAAATAGAGCTTGGAAGCAGTACCACTCGGGAAACTCTGTGACAACAGCAAATCAGAACAGCAGTCTATCCAGTTCAAGCTAGACCCCTTAGAGCAGACGGCAAGAAACACAAACGCTCCCTGAAGAACAGGCAGTAGCTACTGCTTAGCCCAATAGTTGGTACAGAATCACAGAATGGTTGAGGTTGGAAGGGACCTCTAGAAAACATCTAGTCCAATCCCCCTGCTCCAGCAGGGACACCTAGAGCATGTGGCACAGGGTGGCATCCAGGTGGGTTTAAACTAAACTAAACTTAGCCGCAGTGCTGCTTTACAGCATCAAATTCCATGAGTTAATTGTGAAGTTTTAGCTCCCTGGCTTCTCAGTTTCCATATCCAGGAAAGAGGGGAAAAATAGCATCCCACGTACTCCTATACTTTACTGAACATTTTTCTCCATCATTCAGTCTTCCTTATCACTGAGAACAAAGCATCCCTGAATTCTGGAATTGGTCACACACAGGATATGGGGACTGACACAATGAAGCTGCAAACCTGTTCCAAATCTTTACAGACTCTGCAGCTGCTGAGAGAATGGCAATGTTGTCAGAGCTAAAAGCCAATGTCCTGACATCGCTGCGGTGGCCTCCAATGGTTATCTTAGATGCACGGACAGCCTGTGGGACTTGCGCTGACAGGTTCAGGTTATATGACTCAATGATGTTGTTCTGGAGCAGCAATACAATCTTCAGCTCTCCTTTTGAAGAGAGAGTCAAGTCAAATGACCTGTTTGATTTAAACAAAATCAGAGCTTAGGACAAAGTAGGACAAAATGTAGGAGAAATTAAACAGGAAGGAGGAGAGAGCAAGCAAGTGCACACTAAGCCACTATGTAATGGCACTGCCTGTGGAAGTGCAGCTGGACCACCAGCTTGTGGTAGGTCTCTCCCCAGCTCCAAGGTGAACAGCTGTCAAGGAGGAAATCTTCCCCCTTGTAATAAGCGGTGCCCAGCCCTCCCCAAGTAGCTGCATAACTGCAGCCCAGTCTCTACAGCAGGGTCTTCCACTCACTTGATTTTAGCAGAAGCTCTGATGTTAGTGACCCGCTGAATCTCCTCCTGCAGGCTCAGCTCCACAGTGCCGTCAGGTTGTTCTTCAGATTTCTGCCTAGAAACAGTTAAAGGAGAAGATTCAAATAACTTGGCACAGCCACCAAAGACTACTAGAGCTATAGAAATTAATACAAGAGCAACAGTTAGCCTACTGAGATCAACTGCCCCCTTATCTAGCAGTCCTGCCTGTGTTCAAGAACTGGGTGAGATAACAAAGCTCATGCCCATATGCAGACTAGTCAATGACAAACCACGCCTTCTGTGGCTGTGTTCAACTGGGATTATTATGCTCCGCTCATCTCATCTCCGCTTCAGCAGCAGCTGAGCAGAAGTCCTCAGCTTCAGCTGCTGCTGAAGTACAGCTCCATATTACCTATGCTTCAGTTCCAGACCTCAACCAGAGAGCTGTTGGAGGCACCTGTTAAGTGCTAGGATACACAGACAGAAAATTAATACAAAGTAGCCATGTACTAAAGCTCTCACTGGTATCCTTGTCTGCTGTGAAAGAAGACATGAGGTGTCAAGGTCACTTAGACTTTTCAGATGAAACTCCTATATCTGAACTTCCTGCCAGGTACTTTGTTCAATCCAAGCAGCAAGCAGAATAAACATAAAGGTCAAACACAAGTGAATGGCTCTGCAAAATGCATTTTCTAGTTACTCCTTTGCTCATGAGGTTTTTTTCCCCAGGGACAAGGACTGAGAAGGAAAAATATTTCCTTATAGTCTCTAGGAGCAGAGAAGCGTTGATCAAACAAGCACCAAGAATGCACAGGAACAGTGCCCCCATAATGCAGCAGCTACCAGAGACAAGATGACCAGTGGGAGAGTTCAATCCCTGTATCAGTGATGCTTGAGGGGTTTCCTGACAGTTCTAAGGGCACAGACAGCATATAAGCACCCAGAAGCCTATATCGCGTAAGACTGCTTACTTGGCTTTTTTCTTTGCTTTCTTTGTTTTCTTTTCCAATTTCTTTTGGACTTCCTCTTCAGAAAGAACAGAGAACACTTCCAGCACAGCATCTGTTCCCTAGAAACAGGGCAAACAGTCAGAAGCTGGCCCTTGCAGAGATTGACCAGACTCTGACAGCTGCCTCTGTGATTCACTAGCAGAACCCTCCAATACTTACATGGCAGGCCAAAATTTTGCCTGTTTGGTCTGTAGCTAGAGTGATTACTCGATCTCTTCCTTCCCGCATGATGGATCCAACTTTGCTGCATGTCAGGAGGCGCTATAGGGAAAACAAGAACAACACTGGTCTGGAAGATCAAGTGATCTTAGGCCAGCTCAGAAGCGCACTGGGAAGTCAGGAGGAGTCAATGAACCTTCAGGGGCCTGGTAGAGCAGCTAGCAAAGACAGTTAGCAACAAAGTAAGCATTTATGTGACTTACAGGCTTATCTCCTTACCTTTCCGGTATTTCCCCTGAAAATAATCATTGGCAATCTTAGTAAAGTGGTAAACCATAACCATATAAGACACATGGCTGAATTTGCATGCTGCGATGGCAGCAGAACTTAGTTGTGCTGTGAGAGGAGGCAGAAGCAAGGCAGAGAACAAAGAAAGGTGATTGAAGAGACAGAAATTCTTTGAAAATAGAAGTGGGGTAAAGTATTTCATAACATGAGGTATCTACCATAATTACAAGGGATCCACAAATCCTCCCTAGAAAGAAATATTCAAGGAAATCTCCACCAGCAGCACAAATGGGAATGGCTTCCTACTATGGGCTATGATACCACACATAGTAATGGTGCTACTCTGACCTCTCCATTTCTGTTATTGAACTGCAAAAATGGGCATCAGCACTGAACTGAGCAGTTATCAAACAGCTAGCTAGTAACACTGCTAAACTTTAAACGCCTGTTAATCTCCCCATGCAGAGTACAAAAATAAAGCTTTCAGTGGGTAATAACAACATCTGCACATGTCTCAGCACAGGTATTTCACTTATGTTGATCTGCTCCATCTGTAGGCAGATGGAGAAGCAAGTACTGCTGAGGAAAGTGTTATAAAGCAAGACAGAAACCAGCATATTTTTGCTAGTATACTAACTGTGATACTCAGGACATAAGCTCAATATAGAGCAGCAACATGGGAAGAGCTTTCAGAGTCCTGCTAGCTCTGCACAAGGCACTGTGCAAATGGGTTTAGATACGCTAACCCATGGCCAGTGTAGAAAACAGAGCTTACCTCCTCAGGACTCCCATCCAGCTTCAGGGTCTCATCTTCTCCAGTGTTTTCTTCTGCTCCAAGTGAAGACCCTTTGCTTTTCTTGGATTCTGGTTCATCAGGGTTTTTGATCTGTTCCTGGACCAGGGAAAAAAAAAAAAAAAAAAAGGCACACAGAAGGAATACCTTAAACCGTAACAGCTAGGGTGTTCCAGTTTTTATATCATCCACTCACACTTTATTTCACTGAAGGAACAAGTGGTTAAGCTACACTGCAACAAGAATGGCCTACAGCATGCCCATAAGCACCAAATCCCTTTTTTCCACCCACAGAACTGTCTATTCTAGCCGTAACCTAGCAAGAAGACCTAAGCATACTCTGGAAGCCTTGTCCCACAGTGTTTGCAGCTTCACTTGCAAGCTCTAAAACTACAGAAAATGGCAAGTCAACCCTAAGAGCATCTTCTGGACCCTCAGACAGCAAAGACTCTAGTTCTGTTTCCCAGAAAGTCATGGAGATTTGATGTATTCCAATTCCACATTGGTCCAAAGCCAAGCTGCCTGGCAAAACTGTGAGGGATTACAGAGAGCACAGTCTTACCTCTTGGATATAACTGATATCCCACACTCTCAGCTCACTGTCAGCAGTCCCAGTAATCAGACGTTTCTCCTCTGACACCAAAGCCAGCCCCCAAACCTATCCAGAGGCACAATTTGAGCAATTAGTACATGGCTGCTTCCCCGCTCTTAACAATACCAGAAGAACTTTGATAGTTTCATTTAAATGGAACTGAGAAGAGTGAGGAGAGTATCTGGATACGACATCCACCACTGACATCTGCCTTGGAATCACCACCCAGGGCAGAGAGATGAAAGTTCCTGGAAACGCTGGAGAGTTCTCAGTTGCTCACTCTTAAAGCTTAATAAGCAAGTAAAAAATACATCAGTAAGCACAAAATAAGCTATGACACATAATCCAAAGCTCTCACATCCTCTTTACCTCTGTACGGTGTCCAACCAAAGTTTTGAAGCAGTGCTGGGTGTCCAAGTCCCACCATTTCACCAATGTATCTTTGCCACTGACGGGAGGGAGAAAAAAAAAAAAAAAAAAAAAACAGCACTGAGGACGTTAGGGAATGCTGCTAGAGGTCATGTAATAATCTAAAACATGCTGCTACATATCACAGATGGGCTGCTCAGATTTAGAACACATCAAATGTCACAAGTTACATAAGCACAAATCATAGAATCATAGAATGCTTAAGGTTGGAAGGGACCTCTAGAGATCTAGTCCAACCCCCCTGCACAGGCAGGGTCACCTAGAGCACATGGCACAGAATTGCATCCAAGCAGGTTTTGAAGATCTCCAGAGAGGGAGATTCACAACCTCTCTGGGCAACCTGTTCCAGTACTCTGTCACCCTCACTGTCAAGAAATTTTTCCTTAAGTTCCTGTGGAACTTTTGGTGTTTCAGTTTGTGGCCATTACCTCTAGTTCTGTCAGTGGCCACCACTGAAAAGAGGTCAGCCCCATCCTCCTCACTGCCTCCCTCAAGGTATTTATATACACCAATCAGGTCCCCTCTCAGCCTTCTCTTCTTCAGGCTGAACAGGCCCAGCTCCCTCAGTCTCTCCTCATAGGGTAGATGTTCCAGGTAAATCATTAAGTGCTTTATTCCCTGGGTCCAACATCAAGTCATGGTCTCACAAGGCCGCTTTTCTATATTATTTTAAATGAGAATAATAAGCACAAAATGGTGGTCAAATCTCAAAGCTGTCTCTGAACTAATGAGAGCTACCTCAACTTGTGCATCAACCCATTTCTACACACCTCGCACATCAGTCTACAAAAGAAGAAACTGCATTCATTTTGGACAAAGATTTGGGGTTGTTCCGCACATAAGAGAGAATAAAAGTTGCTTTATTGTTTCTTTAAAGCTGCTATATGGCTAACCCTCCTTTAGGATATAGATTTCTGGATATTTTGCTCCCCAAATGCTACAAGAGTACCAGAGAACAGTTATTTGAAGTAATTCAGGTCTTTTTTGTATACCCTATAATTATTAACACTTTCTAATTTTTGATAATTTTGTTAGAGATTAGCTTCCCTAATAAACTTCAACTAAATGAAAATATCAAGTAAATTGAGATAATTGTTGTCCCATTCTTAAATTCACTCAAGACAAAAAAAAATCTGACCAAAAGTAATATTTATTGGTAATACTTCTCTTTTTTGTTACATTTCATCACAAAGGATTCAAAGGTACTTGTTAATTGTACAGATGGAAGTCAAGCAAAAAAATTCTGTACACAGAATAGTGCTCTCAAGGAGCTGCTCAGGCAAAACATACTATTATCCTCACAGCAGAATGAGGCGTGTTTCCTGAAAAAAACAACTTGAAATAAGGAAGCCAAATTTTGCACCTCCAGAAAATTATGATAATGTCTCCACCTTGCTAAAAAAGCATGCAAAAGCAATCCTTACTTCAATTTAGCTGCTGAGAGATTTGAGAAGCATTTCTAAAGCTGGTGTCAAAAGATTTAAAATTACATTAGGAAACATGTATCATTTAACAGCCCACTAAAAGACTGCTTTTTCCATTACAAAAGAGAGAGCACTTTTCTATTAAACTTTTAAATGATATATTAATAAATAAACAATTACTGAAAGACATTTGAACACGACTAACTCGTTAACTGAAAATTAACAAAGCAATAGAGTCAACTCCCAACTGGTATCAGATAATTAAAAAAAAAAAAAATCAACAAAACACCATGTTTTACTTACTTCCTATAATTACTGCCTATTATAGGAAGCAACTTGCGTGTTACATTACTGAGTGAATTACACATATTACACTTAGAAGATTAACCTACTTAATTCTCCCAGATAAACAGTAAAAATGGTCACATACAAAATAAATATATTGTTGTTATTCATCACTACAAAAATTTTAAGTGCTAAGGAAATTCCAAACTGTCACAAACTAACCTTTCTGGTATAGCCATTTCCCTTTTACTTAAAACACTTGGATTCAGGCACTAGATTTGTGAAATACATGGATGTGCCAAACTACTATTTTAGGATGCTAGTGAGTCAGAAATACCATTACTCTATTACAGTATAATATTGGTCTCATATAGCCAAGATCACTCTTTTGAAAAAAGACAAGCATAGTGAGAACTGTGAGCCTGAAAAAAAGTATGGCTATCATACCTAGGATATACAAAATGCAAGGAAAACCATGCCTGCTTTTCTGGTTTACCACTGCACTTGGCCTGGCTCACCTGGTAACCAGCAGGTTCCTCTTCAGCAACAGGACTTGTGTGACTGCATCCTTGTGCCCTTTCAGCCTGTACAAACCACTCTCATTGATGACATCCCACAAAATGACATCCGTGTCCTGCAACAGATACAGTGTTTCCAAGGGAACGGTATTTGTCTCTGCAAAATGTCTACCCTCTCCAGGCTGAAAATACTATGAGAGCTTCCTTCCCCAAAATCTGAATGTCAGCAATAACTGATTTAAGTGACATTCTTTCACTCATATGCATTTACATAAACATACCTCAGTCCTGACTTGACGCACTTGTGCTATGCCTCACCACATCATTTTCTCCATGCACAATGGTTCTGTAAATGCCCATCTTTGGCCTGCTCTCCAGGAACCAGACTCCCCACCTGCAGTGGTGTCTGGCATCCCTAACTCTTTCCACTGCCACCTTTTAGCTATAAAGCTGGGAGGGAAGGGGAGCACACAACCCACTTTAAACACCAACATACTTCTGTGGATCAGCTTTCTCCACAGAGCCGTTACATCTATGACTTCCATCTGGCACTTCCAGGTGTGACTTCAAGCAACCCTCACCTTTGAGCCAGACACCAGCCGGCCCCCCAGATGGTCATACTTCAGGGCTGTCACTGCAGCCTTGTGTCCATTGAAAGTGACATTTGCTTCTCCGCTGAGGAGGCTGAAGACACGGATTGATCCATCTTCATATCCAACAGCCAAGTGCAACCCATCTGGAGAAGGGCAGAGACAACTGACCTCCTCCTTGAGACCCTTAAGGATAAGGACCTGCAATTTTAAGGAGTTGAAACATTTGTCGTTTTGATAAATGATACACAGAAGTGGAAGTAAAAAGAATATATTCTGCCCATCTAGTGCACTGCTTCTGCTGCCTATAAGCTCATTTCTCAGATCCCTGCGTTGAATAAAATATAGTAAGTCTAATTTTACAAGAAGAAAAGCACCTAGAACAGAAGTAACTTCCCAGAACCAAACAGGAAATGGAAAAGAGCATGGCCTAGATGATGGCTCTAGCCTAAGAGCATGGCTCCTAGAAGTCAGGAGCTCTCTTGCCCATATTTTAACTGCCAGAGAGCAAGAAACTTTGCTCAAAGGCCCGAAAGTTTCTCGCTGACCCACCTCCTCCCACTTGGCCCCCTCTTTTCCAGCACACAACAGATCTGCTTTTCCACAGACCACAGAAGAACCTGGGAACAATAAAACCACCCGTGAAACATCATGCTTGTAGTCACCATTCCGGCAAATGCCAAAGGAAATCCTGAAAAGAGATGGTACCCGACAACAAAATTCAGGGTGTGACAGGAGGCTACAGCAGACCAAAGCTTGCAGAGCTTTGCAGAGCAGACTTTCCCAAGCACAGGGGTCATACCAGAAACCTCGCTCCCCAGGCAAAATGCTGCCAGGCAAGGCATAGCTTCTGCAGAAGCCCTGCATTAGCCCACACCTTGCAGCGGGGCTTGCCAGCTCTCACCTTCTCGCCTTTCCGCGTATCCCACACAAAGACGTGCTCGCAGGCCGGCACAGCCACGCAGCGGCCCTGCTCACCACGCAGTGCCACAAAGGCGACGTTTCCCCGAGTGCTGGCCACCAGCCCGAAGAGTGCAGCCGGCCCGTAGCGCAGGTACTGCTTCGTGAGGCCCATGGCGGCCCGCGGCGCGCAGGGGGAAGGCGCTCAGGGCTCCATGCGGTCCCCGCGAAATCGTTACAGCTGAGAAGAGGGGGGCAGGTGGAAAGGAGAGGGGAAGAGAGAAAACGGCTGCAGCAACGGCCGTGACGCCTTAGACCGTGCCCCCTCCGCCGCCCTGGGGCCCTCC